TACGTTTATTTCCTTTAAAAATAACCTTAATGTGATTTTCGCCTTACTAATCATCCTGGTCTGTGTATATTTTTGAGTTGCTTAACATGAACAAATTGTGATGCATTTCCATTATTTTAACTTGGTGTATTTCAAATTATAATAATCTAGTGGAATCCTTATTTTGATGTTCTTTTTTTCAGTTAAAAATACCCCCCCGAAAAAAACATTTTAACAGCCCATAGCATCTAATCTATTTTGTAGCAAAGATAAAATTAAGCCAAAGCTAGATTATTTAAGTAAGAAATTATCGGAATACCAACTTTAAATTTCATATTTTCTCATGTAAAACATTTATAAGGCGCGAAAATTGACACGACTATGATTTCGGCATGTCAGGTTGTTCTAGAAAAATATGTTTTAACCGTATGTAGAAGTTGGTTCCCAAAACGAAACTTCTGACACGTGTATTTCAGATACGGAAGAATGCGTAACGAAACTCATCATCCGTATTCTGCTGAATAGAGCACGCAGCAGAATCAGGCCAGAGATAGGACAAGAACAGTGCGGGTTCGTTAAAGACACCCCGAACAAGGAACGAGATATCCATACTCGGAATGTTATCAGAAAAAGCGATACAAATGCAGAAGGACGAGTACCTATGTTTCATAGATCACGGAAAAGCCTTCAACAAAGTACGCCTCAAGAATCTGTTAGAACTGCTCAGCAACCTCGATATATTCGGGAAAGATATTAAAAATAATCAAGAACCTATACTGGCATCAAACAGCATACATGCGCATAGAGAACGAGCTCAGTGAATATACAAAAATAGAAAGGAGGCGTAAGGCAAGGATGCGTCTTCTCACCAGACCTGTTCAACCTATACAGCGAGGCAATTCTGAGACAAATGGAACCCCTACCGGGATTCAGCATTGGCGGATACATTCTTAACAATGTAAGATACACAGATGACACAGTACTGATAGCAGACACGGAAAAGCAATTGCAAAATCTCCTACAGAAGGTAGCGACGGAGAGTGTGAAGAAGGGAGTAATCATAAACTACAAGAAGACAGAATGCATTGTCATCAGTAAGAGGAAGAGCCCGAAATGCTATTGGCAGGTCGGGGACGCTAAAATCAAGCAGGTATAGAAGTTTAAATATCTGGGAAGCGTCTTGACAGAGGACGGTAAGTGCGACAATGAGATCCGTAGACGTATTGGGATGGCTAAGGACGCATTCCAAAAGCTGGACAGAGACAGGAGAATTTCTTTGGTAACAAACAAAAGAGTACTGAGCTGTTATGTGACATCTGTCCTCCTTTACGGCAGCGAAATTTGGACGGTCTCCTCAACGATGAAGAAGAAACTCGAGGCGACGGAGATGTGGTTCTACAGAACGATGCTGAGGAGATCATGGACGAAGCGTGTGAACAGCGATGAGATCTTAGAGAGGTTGCAAACAAGTAGAAGGGTTATACTTAACATCAGGAAGAGGCAGTTACAGTTTCTGGGACGCATAATAAGGAAGAAAGGCCTGAAGCAGGGAGAGAGAAACAAAGGTAAACAACGCATGACATATCTAGCGGACTTAAGCAAATGGATGACAGAAGGTTGTCTGGGAGAGGTAGCAGAGTGACGGAACTTGTTGAGAAATGCAAGGGATAGAGAGAAGTGGGGAGCTATGATCGCCTACATCTTGAAAAGACACGGGACATAGAAAGAAAGAAGAATATATGGTACAAATATTAAAAAAAAATTCTTAAAGTGCCTAACTGGTCTGCTGGTATAATGAATATAGACAATTTTAAGGATATTAAAAGATCGAGCAATTTTCAAACAATAATAATGGCATATCTATAACAGGAGTGAATATGATTACTGCATAGAAATAATCCATTCGGTAATCAATGACAGGAAATTTAATTTGGTGTATATGACATATTTTGTAAATGAGAGGCTCACAAATTGAACAGCGCCTTTTTGCCTTTTAGAACCTCAACGACTCGAACAAAATGGCTCATCCACATGTTCCAGTTGTCTAAAAGATTGCAAAACACCCGCAGGTCTTGGGAGACATATGCATGTCCATAAAAGTTGAGCACCTCTTTATTTTACTGATCCCACCATATATATATATATATAATCATTTCACCCCAAGCGAGGCAATAAAAGTCACTAAGCTGAAAGAGGTAACTCAAAGATAATGAAACAGGAAGGAGAATAAGGAACAGAATTCAAAGAGACAGAAGCTGACGATTGATGCTGCATTTACATTTTTGAAGATTTTGTATTTGACAAGCAACTAGGTACCCAGAAGAGAGTTCCACAAATGAGAAATGAGAGAGGAGAATTATTAAGGCAGAACTTAAAGAACTTTCAATTTCAACAGTAAAATAATGAGACCAAACCACCAATCTATCAGGTCATCCCATAAGTTCTGCTCGAATTTTAACTTTTTGTTAAAATGAACGAAATTTAAAGAGAATTTTATAATATCTAATGGAGCTGAACATTATTTTTTATGTTTAAATGCATTTAAACTGAACAAATTTTATTTCAGAGAACAATAAAATAAAATTTTGTTTGATTAAAACCCTGCTAACATGGAATTACCCAAGAATCATTTGAGGCACATAATGCTTTATGAGTTCAAAAAAGGAAACTCAGCAGCCGAAGCAGCTAGAAACATTCACTCAGTTTATGGAGAGGAATGTGTGAATGAAAGAACTTGCAGAAGATGGTTTGCAAAATTCAGAGGTAGAGATTTCACCCTTGAAGATGAAGTTCGAACCGGACGTCCAATTGAGTTTGATGAAAAGCTTCTTGAAGCAGACCTTGAAGAAAATCCTGCTTTATCAGTTGAGAAATTGGCAGTGGTTCTCAGTTCAAACCATACAACTGTTCATCGTCATCTTCAACAACTTGGAAAAGTTCCTAAACTTGGAAAATGGGTGCCTCGTGAATTGTCTGAAAACAACCTCAAATTCTGAGTTGACATCTGCTTTTCTCTCCATTCTCGCCAACTTGTTTCACCTTTTTTGGATAGACTTGTGACTGGCGACGAAAAATGGATCTTTTATCGAAATGTTAAGCGTCATAGACAGTGGCTTGGTAAAGGGGAAGGACCCCAGCCACAGCCGAGAAGGGAATTTCATGGGCAAAAGGTTCTTCTTTCAATCTGGTGGGATCGCCAAGGAATAATCCACTTTGAAATACACTGTCAGCAATTAGAGCGTTTGAACCAAGCTTTGAGGAAAAAAGACCTGCTCTAGTGAATCGAAAAGAGGTGATGTTTCATCAGGACAATGCGCGACAGCAAGAATCACGTCAGAAAAGATTGAAGAACTTGGTTGGGAGAAAATTCCTCATCCACCTTATTCTCCCGATCTTGCTCCTTCAGACTACCATTTGTTTCGTAGCTTACAGAATCATTTGGAAGAAACAGCTTTTGTAACACAGGAAGAGGTTAAAACTGACATTTGTGAGTTCTTCGAATCAAAGCCAAAAGAATTTTACAGTAATGGAATTAGTAAGCTTGTAAATAGATGGAAGGAAGTCATAGATAATCAGGAAAAATACATTGTTGATTGAATCTGTAATTAAATGTAACATTTGCTCACTTGTTTTCTTTATTCAAAATTCGGACAGAACTTATGGGATGACCTGATAGTACTGCGCTTAAATTCGTGAAGTTGACGTACCAACGAGGAAATCTCATCCAAACAATTACCGTGAAAATATTTATAGAAGAGGCAAACGAAAGCTATGTTACGACAGTGAGAATGTGACTAGAGTCGAGATGCCAGGTCAGGGCAGATAACGTTGCCGATTCTTTTTTAGACTTGTCATGAATCTCCACATATAACGCAGAAGCACCAGACTAGACGTGGTAGTAATATTTAAAGCACCATCGAATGGTAGACTTATACATTTGCAAGATAGATTCTGGATAAAAAAAAATATTTAACTCGACATAGTGAACTATATTTCCTAGTAGCAGACTTAGCAATTGATACAATATAATCTTTTCCACGTCATGTCAATGGAAAATGTGAGATCACGAAGTTTGGGCATCAGTCATGTTGATAAAAGGCAACTAGTAGGAGGAAATTATGATTACTTATATTATTTACATTATTCGGACTGTTATCCTCATCTTCATTGCCATATTCACAACGCCCCGGGACTTTTTCAGGTGATTGGAATTTCGAACTGTACTTTTTATTTCGTCTAAGAATTGGTATAGATTGATCTAGTTCCACGAACCAGGACTCTTCCAGATGTCTCAGTTATTTCCCTTTAACTCATCTCTCCAAGTTTTGGATCACCACTGCTGTAGTCTGGTATTGAACTTACAATTTTTAGGTCTAGTCGCTGGTTCTAACCCACCCCTTTATTTACTGGGTCATGTGTCCTTCAGGAAATCTGGTGTATGAATTTCTGGGACTTATAAAGCTAATGTTCCAGCAACCATTTTTACCAGTGCTCATACTGCAATTTTTCTGTTATTGTTAAATATTTTTACAAGAGCTTATATTGCTTTTCCCTGGCATTTCTTATTACTGGTTTCCATATTTTATTCATTTCTATGCTTGGTCGGCTCAGGAGAAGTGTTCGGTTCGAAATTCCAATCACCTGAAGAAGGCCGGAGCGTACATCGTCCGAAACGTTGTGAATATAAGATTAATAATTACTAAGACAAAATTGTATATTTTAAACATACCAGGCTGACTATAATATAAGAAAAATAACAATGGAAAAACAAGCTAAAATTTAGAAGAATATTATCCAAGAAGGGATATATTTGTCTAGACCTTTCTGGATCTGCATCGAAACTTCTTGAATCATGCTTGATGATATCATATTCGTCATTCATTACTACACGTTCTTTCAACGATACAAGGGTTAAAGGAAAGGAGCGCTCAACCAAACAAAAGAATGATATCATTAAGCAACGGAATGAAAATTTTTAGCTAAATTGTTGCTAAATTGCAAAGCCTGTCAGCAACACTGCATCAGTTATTCTGAAATGGAAGATGATTGACACCACCAAGTTGGTAAGTGAATGAGAGAGAGTAAATGAGAGAAACACGTAGGTAGGTAGGTAGGTAGGTAGGAACAGAGCGAGATAGATAGATAGATAGATAGATAGATAGATAGATAGATAGATAGATACTGAGGTAGGTAGGTAGGTAGGTAGGTAGGTAGGTAATAGGTAGGAAGGTAGGTAGGTAGGAACAGTCCGAGATAGATAGACAGAATGTGTTATGATAGATAGATAGATAGATAGAAAGATAGATAGATAGATAGATAGATAGATAGATAGATAGATAGATAGATAGATACTGAGGTAGGTAGGTAGGTAGGTAGGTAATAGGTAGGAAGGTAGGTAGGTAGGAACAGTCCGAGATAGATAGACAGATAACAGAATGTGTTATGATAGATAGATAGATAGATAGATAGATAGATAGATAGATAGATAGATAGATAGATAGATAGAAAACGGTGGAGGTGGAGATAGAGGTGGGGAGAAAAGGAATGCTAAAATTAAATAAGTCAGTTAAGAACAATTTAACGACGCTGTTTAGTGACCAAACCGGCTTGAAGCGTAACAGGAGAAAATTGTAGGAAGTTAATGCGAAATGTCGATTGTTGGCAAAGATTGATTCGCAAGGGTCTAGGGCGAGAAAGAAAACCGTGACCAAAGGGTGGGAACTCTTCAGACTCGGGAGGAAATAAAAGAAAATTATCAAAGCTCCAAAAGCAAATTCAATGGGAGAGAACTGTAAATGGAATGAGACAAGAAAGAACAGAAAAGGCACATTCACTGGTGTTGTTATCAGTTTAACTGATCAGATTGAAATTGCAATTATTTCTTTTTCTGTTATTTCCATTTGACTTGTTTATTGTCTGATGGGAGTGGCTGCGCCTGTCTATCATTAACTAGCACATAAAAAGAGCTAAGGTGAATAATAATCATCAGAGAGCCATTTATTTTGATGTACAAACTGACTGGGGAGAGCAGTGGAAGTGAGTGAGAGGTCTCGTTTATTTTGTTGTTAATTTTCAACTTTATTTTCCTAATTTCATTCCAAAGAAAGTGAACGGACAAACAAAGTTTCTTCTACTCCTCCTCTTCCTCCTCCTCCACCTCCTCCTCCTCCAGCTCCTTCTCCTCCACCTCCACCTCCACCTTCTCCTCCACCTCCTCCTACCCCTCCTCCTTGTTCTTCTTCTTCTTCAACTTCTTCTTCTTCACCGCCTCCTCCCACCTTCTTGTTATTATCTATCTCCTTACTGTCTAGTAATCTTTCTCACAAATACTCGTTCTCTCGGACTCATCGATTCTTTTTCTCAATCTTTTCTCTTCTCTTTATCTACCTTTTCTGTCTTTATCATTATATATATATATATATATATATATATATATATATATATATATATATATATATATACCTGTTTATTTCGATATACAAATTCTAAATATATTCTTCTTACACGTTTCTCTCTTTAATTCGTCCATTCCTTTCGTACGCACACGCATATGCGCACACGCACGCACACACACACACACACACACACACACACACACACACACACATATATATATATATATATATATATATATATATATATATATATATATATAATTTTTAATGCAAATGCTGTGAACGGAAAGACCTGGTTTCATTGAGGCGTGTAAACTGCAGCCACTACGCAGTGTTGATTCCTATGTCCACACTGTCTCTATCTGTAAACGATATCGAGCATTCTGTCATGATAAATATAAAAAATTAAATGTATATATATATATATATATATATATTCTCCATTTATCTTTCACTTTATTTCTATCTCTTCCTCTCTCTGTCCTATATATATATATATATAGATAGATAGATAGGGGTGTGTGTGTGTGTGTGTGTGTGTGTGTGTGTGTGTGTGTGTGTGTGTATACACGGCTGTAAATCGATACATATATAACGTGACACGTTTGGGCTCTTCGAAGCGGTGTAATGGTTAGCAAGTTTGTCTCTAGAACAATTACGACTGAGTTGTGAGTTCGATCCTCACTGGATGCCCACCACTTTCGGCTTTGTGCCACATCTAAGTCACGCTTGGAATATCACTATTTGGACACCTCGGTGTCGTGTAATGGTTAGCAAGCTTTCTCGCTAGATCAGTTATGACTGAAAAGTGAGATTGATTCTCTCTAGATGCTCTGTACGTTCGGCCTTGTGCCACATCTAAGCCACGCTTGGAAAATCACTATAACATAACACGTAATTTTTGCTCAATTCCAAATTGAAATTTTCAATGTTGCATATTTTTATTAATATTCACGGTTAAATAAATAAATTACCAATGTAGGAGATTATACAGTATTTACATTAGTCGGACTATTGTCCTCATCTTTGTCGCCATATTTGTCACAACGTTTCGGCCGTTGTACGCTCCGGCCTTCTTCAGGTGGTTGGAATTTCGAACTGAACCCTTTATTTCGATCACTGGGGTAGACTGTTCTAGTTCCACGTGCCATGTTTGATGGATGTCAGTTATCAGTTATCTCCTGCTAATTTTCCCTCTGAAAGTTCTCCACTGCCTTAACCAGGAATTGAACTCACCTGAAGAAGGCCGGAGCGTACAACGGCCGAAACGTTGTGACAAATATGGCGACAAAGATGAGGACAATAGTCCGACTAATGTAAATACTGTACATAAAACCTCATCTCAGAAATATAGACAGACTCTGTAGGAGATTATGTTGTAAAATATTTTCTGCAATATAAATTCTCATATTCTTTTTTATTTCTGAAACCATTAATTATATATATATATATATATATATATATATATATTAGGAGGATTTGAGATAATCATATTTAAGTAATTCTTTGAGTCTAGAAGAAACCTCCACAGAATGCAGAAAGCACTGGATGGCTGTTTCGTCCTATATTTGGGACTTATCAGCAGTGCTCATCCACTACCGAGAATTGAAACCTGGATAGTGACGTCATCAGGCAAACGTCATACCAACTGTTAGAACGGGCCTCGTTAACGAAGAAATCAGACTCGATATAGGGCCGCTCGATCACATATTCCGTGGTGGAACTCATCCTAGTTTCTCTTTTACCCATAGGACTGTGCCCCCATGAGCCACGTCTACTATCACCAAGCCGCTCCATTCAGAACATTAGAAGCCGGTTCAAGCAAGTATATATAAGTGATAGAAGTTAGGAAAATTTGAGATAATTATAATTAAGTAATTCATCGAGTCTAGAAGAAACCTCAACAGAATGCAGAAAGCACAGGACGGCCGTTACGTCCTATATTTGGGACTCATCAGCAGTGCGCATCCACTACTGAGAATTGAACCCGGACCGTTATAATAAGACGCAAAATAGTTGTGGCTCGTGTGGCCAAAGTTCTATGGGTAAAGGAAACTCGGATGAGTTACACCAAGTAATTTGTGAAGTGCGACGCTATATGTAATTTAATATCTAATATCTAATTCGTTACCTCTTCTTCTTACAGTTGGTATGACGCTTGCGTCGTATCGTAACGGTCCGTGTTCAATTCTCAGTAGTGGATGTGCACTGCAATGGAACGCCAATATTGGATGAAACGGCTGTCCAGTGCATTCTGCTGAGGTTTCTTCTAGACTCAATGAATTACTTAATATTATATATATATATATATATATATATATATATATATATATATATATATATATAATGCGATGAACAAATTGTTGTCTAAATTCTTAAAAAACGAAAATAACGCAGTTATCTCATTTTAAAAGATATATTTACAAAAATTACACAAAAATATCTTGAAATACTAAAGAGTCTCATTGTTCAAGTTGGTGAAAGCTGCCATAACACTAGCCTTCAGTTCATTTTTGGTGTTACAAGGAGTTTTGTTGGTCTCTCGCTCAACAGCACCCCACACGTAATAATCAAGGGGGTGCAGTCTGGGGAGATAGGTGGCCAGATGTAAGGGATGATGCGGTCGCAGAAATGATTCTCCTGCTTGTGTGGCATGGTGCAGAGTCTTTCAGTAGCCACCATCTTGACCCAGGGCAGCACTACTTTACTGAGATACTTCATGTAGGCCTCCGTTTTGAGTCTGATGTCCCGTGGGAAGATGATTGGAGGCATAACGTCGCCATCAATAGTAATCACTCCAAACACCTTTGTAATCTCTATTAAACTCATCTAACTCTTTCCGAATCCTCTGCACTGTCCTTAGATTAACAGCCAAACACTCTGAGATGTTCGTATTCGAGCTTCCGGCGCGAATGCCACGCATTGTAGCATGCCGTTTCGAAATTACTGGTGGACTGAATTGCGTTATGGTGCTCTTTTTCACAAAGACGGTGCCCAACTGACTATACTATACTGTAAAAATCGACAAAATCAAAAACGAAGAATGCGCATGCGTGAAATTAAAAATATAAAATGGCGATAATTTACCCATCGCAATTTGTATATTTATAATTTCCGCTTCTGACGTTGTTGTTTTATAATGTTATTTTTTTAAATTTATTTTTTATTTTTCTTTCTTCTTTTTGTACATTCTTTCTATCTGCATTCTATTTTGCATGTTTTTTTTCTTTTCTTTTCTTTCTTTTTGCATTAGCCTTTATTTTTCTTTTGATGTTCTTTATTTGTTTTTAGTTCCTTGTATCCTACCTCCACCTTTTTTTTTCTTTACTGTCTTCACTTTTTTTATCATTTCGATCTTTTCTTTCTTTTCTTCTCTTTTTTTCTTTTTTCCCGTTACCTTCTAGATGTTCTTCTTTTGAAACTCGATTTATTCCTCCACCCACTTCGCGTCGGACATAGATCTTGATCTTTATGTATACATGACAGTTGGCGTTTTAAAAAGAATTCACTACTTTCTTATATTCGTAATTTCATACGATTTTATTTATTTATTTATTTTTACTTACAAGTCACACTTCTGTCTTCCCGGCATTCACATATCTTCTTTTTTTTATTCATGACAATTTTAATGACTTCAGTTAACAACTTTCGATCTTGATCTAAAATATTTATATTGTCCGAACAAAAAAAGCTTCTCATATGTATATATAAAAAAAGCTTCTCGTATATATATGTGTGTGTGTATGTGTGTTTGTGTGTGTGTCTGTGTGTGTGTGTATTGGGTCCTCTGAAGATTCGTTAAAAATTGAGCATACATGATGAAAAAATGCCCCAAACTTAATAAAAAGAAAACTTTTATCGTTAAAATCTTTATGTTTATTAAATGCAAAGAGGAAAGATTTTTTTGATATTAAATTATTTTTTTGAATGTTCGAGATTTTGGTTAAAAAATTTTATTTTACTTGCGTCAACGGGAAACATAAATTAGTATACGAAACTTTAGCGACTTTTTGAGGTGAAAACTCATACTGATTTCGAAATTCTTGCAAAAATCAAATGATTATGGATTTTAAATAAACTTTTAATATTTATTCACAAATGAATAAAATTATTTTAGAACTACTTTTAGAAAGTCTTGGCAAAAACATTTTTTTTTTAATTTTTTAATTCTGTTACTTGTGCCCTTTCTTTCCAACGAAATTTTCCTGTTTCTTAATACTTTGCTTAGTTTCTGGAAAGCACTTTCGCTATTCCGATGCGCCTTCGGATTTCCGTGTCACATTTTCCGCCTTCAGACACTCCCCAGATATGTAAACATAATACAGGTGTGAAAACACTGTGGGTAACAGTGGGAAGATAATGCTTCGCCGAGTTTAAAATCAAAGGACTCAGCATTCCATAAGACAGCCTCTCACCAATACAAATTAATCATAGCCTTCATTCCGCCCAGATATATCTTCTATTTCTATATATTTATTTATATATATATTCCTTTTGTCTTGAATGTCATGTGAGTGTCACATTTTCAAAGCCCTCTTTCCCCACTTTGTGTCATAGAAATGTTTCTTTTTGATTTCGAGTATAAATGCTCTTTTACTTTGTATTTTCCTTCCTCGTTGCTTGCATGCTCCGTCCATGGTATCCTCAGTATCCTTCTGTAGAACTACATCTCTTTTATCTCAAACCACATCTTTATTTGTGCGGAAATTGTCCATCATTCCCTGCTATACAGAAGGATTGATATGACTTACCACTTCAGCGCTCTTTTCTTTGTTTCTAAAGAATTTTTTCTGTTATACGTACTTTGCTTAGTTTCTGGAAGGCAACTTTCGCTATTTCAATGAACCTTCGGATTTCAGTGTCACATAGAGTTTGCATATTATCTGCGGGTAAGACCAAACTGTAATTAGAATATATTTATGACATTGATCATTAGAATTAGTTCATTATTTGCTGTTTCTGTTATATTCAAGTCGGTTGACGCAGGACTGGTGCGTACTACCCACGAATACTTCGACCGGGTGTGTCAAGTCAACTTGGGGTTCCCGGGCAGTGTCTTGTGACCCTCGCTATCTTATCAATATTTGCTTTTATCGATCTACATTTATATGCCTCATAAATTAAACTAAACACAACTGACTATTAAAGGAGGAAATATTTTCGCAGATATTTATGTCATTCTAGGTCAGTTTTTTCCGTCTTGAAAAAAAAAATCATTATATAAAATTCAATATTTTTTATCCATAATGTTGAACGTGTTAAAATTATTCAACGTTTTAACAAGAAAAATCTTAAGTTGATATTAAAAATTGCCGCAAGCCATTGCCGATTTATTTAAGACAAAATGATCTATTATGACATGCCACTAATTTGTATTTAGATATGTTGTATTTATTTTCAGTTTTTCGAGTTGAATTGTTCATTTATATTGTATATGCTCCATTATTGTACATCTATAGATAGATTGTCTGATACATAGATAGACAGACATATGAATAAAGAGATATATATGAACATAGATAGAGAGATAGATAGATACTAGCTAACCGTCTAGTCTTAATATCTATTTATCTATCTATAGAAGGATAGATAATGAAAAGCATATATAGATAGATACTATCTAACCGTTTTTCTATAGATAGATAGATAGATAAATACTAACTAACCCTCTATCTCAGTATTAATATCTTTTTATCTATCTATCTATCTATCTATCTATCTATCTATCTATCTATCTATCTATAGGTAGATAGATAAGTAGATAGACAGATAATGAAAAGTATATATAGATAGATACTATGTAACCGTTTTTCGTATAGATAGATAGATAGATAGATAGATAGATAGATACTAGCTAACCGTCTAGCTCAGTATTAATATTTTTATCTATATCTATCTATAGATAGATAGATAGATAATGTAAAATATATATAGATACTATCTAACCGTTTTTCCTATAGATAGATAGATAGATAGATAGATAGATAGATACGAGCTAACCGTCTATCTCAGTATTAATATCTTTTTATCTATACATCTATCTATCTATCTATCTATCTATCTATCTATCTATAGATAGATAGATAGATAGATAGATAGATAGATAGATAGATAGATAGATAATTAAAAGTATATATAGATAGATACTATCTAACCGTTTTTCCTATAGATAGATAGATACGAACTAAGATGAAAAGCAAAGAAAGGAAAATATACGAACTTAAGTGAAAGAGATGATTCTAATTTTTTAAAAATTGATTCATTTTGTCTTTTCATTTTTGTTTTTTGTAAAGGGATTTTTTAAAACACGTAGTTTGGAAACTTTAACTGTAATTTCTTACAATTTATTTCGTGCACTTGAAGAATCGCAGAAATTTTGATTTTCAAACCTTCTTATATTTTAATATATTTTTTATTCGACATTTTTTTCTTCTTATGTAATTTTAGTCTGTACACGTATCTGAGTTGCTACCCCTGTTTTTTCTTCTTCTTTTTTTTTGTATTCTATTAAACATTAGGAAATTAGATCGAGATAGCAATTTAACAGGGATAGCAACTCAAATACATGTGCCCACGAAAAATAACGTTTATAGTAATATGAAATACGTTCTTATGCAAATACCATCTTCGTCACTTGACTGTCGTTTTAAATTAAATTCTGTCAGAAAACCATCTTTTCTCCCGCTGGAAAAAGAATTAAGATTAAAATTTGAAAACTTCTAAGAAAATAGATTAGTTTTAAAATCTATTTAACAAAAAAATATTAAATATACAGCAATTCAACAAAAAAGTTTTCTTTACAAAATAGATCTCTTCTCTCTTTCTCTTTCTCTCTCTCTCTCTCTCTCTCTCTCTCCATGTTTGATTGTTTCTTTCTATCTAAATTTTTAGGTTAATTAGTTTATATCCACCTATCGATCTATTTATCTATCTCTCTATTAGATCCCGATGAACTCATTTTTTCATATATATCTATCCCCCTCTCTCTCTCTCTCCATATATATATATATATATATATATATATATATATTTTTTAAGAAGTAATGTATTTCTTATTTATTAATGCGACAGATTTTATTACTTAATCGTATCTATTTGATAGATTGGGTATCCACTAAAAATACTACTTGACACATACATACACACACACATATATATATATATATATATATATATATATATATATATATATATATATATATATATATATATATATATATATATATATATATTATTATTATTATTATTTTTCTATATATATTATTTTATATGCGCCGTACATATTGGAAAGTACTCAATACCAGTTGTATGGATATAAGTTTGTAACTGTGTGTCAGTGTGTCATCCCAGATGGAATGCCCCCCCACCAAACATAATCAAACACAAACAAGCATAAATAGAGTATTTAAAAAAATAAAAAAAATAAAAAAAATGATAAAAATTATCTGATTATCGCAAAAGCGTGAAACGCGAAGTCACCAATTCATATCCATACAACTACAACTATATGTAAGGAGACTTGCCGATTGCATTTAGCATGAAACAGACTGTCACCTCTGGGTATCGACTTCAATGTCCACTTTTATATTTACATATGCTCTATCCCTGATATTGAACACATTAACCCGTAGATATAGCATACCTGAAAACTGTTTTATTACACACACACACACACACACACATATATATATATATATATATATATATATATATATATATATATATATATATATATATATATATATATATATATAAGTCTTTATTTGCTGATACATTCTGATGAGTGGACTGAAAAATTAAACAAAGGTTCGTCTACTATACTCTGGAATAGATGTACTGAATATAATATCAATCAGCTCGGTACCAAATTTCATATTTGTATTAAACCGAAATATATATATATATATATATATATTTGTTCATCTATTTCTGTATCTATTTATATGTAAGAGACTTGCCGATTGCATTTAGCATGAAACAGACTGTCACCTCTGGGTATCGACTTCAATGTACACTTTTATATTTACATATGCTCCATCCATGATATTGAACACATTAACCCGTAGATATAGCATACCTGAAAACGGTTTTATTACACACACACACACACACACACACACACATATATATATATATATATATATATATATATATATGAAAAACTGTTTTATTATGTACATATTTATATATATATATATATATATATATATATATATATGAAAACTGTTTTATTATGTAAATATTTATATGAAAATTTCTCCGATTTAATCGGTAGAGAAGACAATATTATGAATAAAAAATGACAATAGGAAAACTGGTAATTGCTGACGCGTTTCGTCCAATGTGGACTTTATCAAAGCAAAATACGAAAATGAAATTAAATGAACAACGTAACTAATAAAAACAAAAAATTTAATTTCATTTTCGTATTTTGCTTTGATAAAGTCCACATTGGACGAAACGCGTCAGCAATTACCAGTTTTCCTATTGTCATTTTTTATATATATATATATATATATATATATATATATATATATATATATATATATATATAGTGTATATGTGTATATATATATATATATATATATATATGTATATATATACGTATTCAGTCGATTACAACTGACAAATCTTTCAAATATTAATTTACTTTACGGTTGAGGAAAAAAAGATATTTTTCTGTTAGAAGTTCATTTAACACGACAATTGGGAAAAGAACAAATTATTTTCATAACGTTTTATGCACCCAACTTGACGTGATGTCAGTGCCGACTTCAGGTGGACGATATTTAACGATGGTGGATGAAAGTGCATCCGAATGTCAGAAGCGTTGATTGCGGTGCACACGACTTTATACGCCCCTTTTTTAAAATTGTTTCCATAAATAAGAATAAGAATATAACAAGGAAGTGGCGGTGGAAAGTTCGTCTCACTCGAAAAAACAGGTGACATTCAAAGTCATCAAGCAGAAAGAAAGAAAGAAAGAAAGAAAGAAAGAAAGAAAGAAAGAAAGAAAGAAAGACAACAAAAAAGAAGAGAAAAGAAGAAAGAAAGAAAGAAAGAAAGAAAAGAAAAGAAAGAAAGAAAAAGAAAGAAAGAAAGAAAGACAACAAAAAGAAAAGAAAAAGAAAGAAAAGAAAGAAAGAAAGAAAGAAAGAAAGAAAGAAAGAAAGAAAGAAAGACAACAAAAAAGAAGAGAAAAGAAGAAAGAAAGAAAGAAAGAAAGAAAGAAAGAAAGAAAGAAAGAAAGACAACAAAAAAGAAGAGAAAAGAAGAAAGAAAGAAAGAAAGAAAGAAAGAAAAAAAGAAAAAAAAAAAGAAAGAAAAAAACAAAAAGAAGAAAAGAAAGAAAGAAAGAAAGAAAGAAAGAAAGAAAGAAAGAAAGAAAGAAAGACAACAAAAAAGAAGAGAAAAGAAGAAAGAAAGAAAGAAAGAAAGAAAAGAAAAGAAAGAAAACAAAAAAGAAGAGAAAAGAAGAATGAAAAAAGAGAGAAAGAAAAGAAATGATAAGAAAAGAAAGAAAGAAAGAAAGAAAGAAAGAAAGAAGAAAGAAAGAAAGAAAGAGAAAAAAAAAAAGAAAAAAAAAGAAAGCAAAGTAAGAGAAAAAAACAAAGAAAGATTTACAAATCTAAAGTAAACAAAACCTTTCTACAATTCTGCATATAATAATTTTTCTTTTACTTTTATGTACCGTGTCTTTTCAGGCGATCATGGCCCTCCACATCTTCCTGTCCCTTAATAAGTTTTGACTTTTTATTATTTCTCCCAAATCCTGTTCTACCATCCATTTACTCAAGCCTATCAAGTATGCGCTGCTTTCCCCTCTCCCTCTTTCCGTCAATCTGCCTTGTGAGTATCAGATTTTCCAAACCCTTCTTCCTCATTAGGTGCCCCCAAAATATCAACTGCCTCTTCTTGATGTAATGTATAATTTTCCTTTTTTGGTTCCCATTTTCTCCAAAATCTTGTCGTTGCTCACATGTTCGGTCCATGGTATCCTCATCAGCTTTCTGTAGAAGAACATTTCTGTTGCTTCAAGTCTCTTCTTCATCTTTGGGGAAATTGTTCAACATTGGCTGCCATACAGGAGGACAGCTCCGCAAAAAGTGACTGCAGTTAACAGTGGGAGGGATATCCACCTGCCTTGGTTCAATGTCCGATGGTGTCAATAGAATTCTAGATCATCGCTTTCCAATGGGATTATCCATAGCTGTTTAAATCTATCGCAATTTTGTTTTAAAGACTTAAGAAAAGTAAGCGCCAATGGCGTGAATTTACTTAAGGTGCACTTTGACTTGTGGACCTCAGGGAGTGGTCCACACACTTGATTTCATGACCATCCAGGCTTAAGGCACATATAGAATACGGCATGAAGAATCTACTTATGAAAATGCAACGGACTGTCAATGACTGTTATAATTTCTAGTGGCGCCTTCTATAGTATGTCTGTCATGCGTAGCCATCTTCATCTGCTGGTTCAATCGTTGAGATCTGTTGTAATTGCCATCCACTTGTTCCACTGATGTTGTACTTTGGGTTGGTCGCGCTTAATTTGGGTCCTCGTTTTCGACCTTGCCGCGAAGACCGGTCCTGCTAGGGGTTTCGAAATCCTGACGGCGTCGCTCTCAGAGTCATTGGACCACGCGACACCTTCCACCACAACTAGGAACGATCAATTTGTATCACTCACAACGACTCGAACTTGACGCACAACAACGATCATATTGTTATATAGTGATTTATTAAATTCAGCTTAGATGTGTCTCAAGGCCTCAAATATGGGACACCGAGTGTAGATCTATCTCACTACTCAGTTTTAATTGATCTAGCGAGGCAAGTTTGCTAATCCTTACACGACGACGAAGTGCTCCTATTGTTATATCTCCGTCTTTTAATTCTTTGGGTCTTTATATACGCGGAGGAGGTTGTAATGAACTGTTATCAACAAAGAGTGTGCACTATTGTTTTCACAAAGGTATTTGTTGTCGCTTGGTGATGCAACAAAAAAAGTTTGGTTATTTGAACCGTAACTCTTGTTTACCCTCTGTATCACTAACAGCAAGTTCGAATTAACTCCCCATATCGAACATTCTTGACGTCACTCAACTACCGGCTGTTTATACACTTTGACCTTCAACTGAACAGAAGTGTCAGGAGGGTGACATCCCAGTAACAATGAGAATAGTCAAGTATTCAACATTTTCTTTTTCACCTGTTGCCAATTCAAGATCCAATTATGCTTGCTTGCACGATATTCACCCAAATATTAGGGCGTCAGAGTCGTAATATGACATAAAGGCTTGATTTCGAACTCATTTTGAAACATCAAGACGTCTAGATACAACTAAAATGACAAAGGGTAGGAAACAGCCCAAAGTCGTACACAGATAAGCAGAAGAATGATTGTACCCAACCCCAGTCTGCCAACCTACCCAAGGGCGACAGTCTTAATTTTAGCCACTGATCAGACACTTTGAAAGAATTCACTGTATAAACAAGCTCACGCTATGTTTCAGTCTGAACAGAAATCGCTGTGATGGTTTTACATACAGTGTAGTTCTCCAAAGAAAGAAAAATTAATATCATTATGAATGTCCAAGTTATAAGTTGTTTTTTCTTCTTTTTTTTTTAAATAATTTCCCTCTAAGCAAGACGGTAAAGCCACTAAGACACAAGGGGTTACTAAGTTCGAAAGATTAAAAAACAGGTAGCTAGAACAATAGAAGAGAGATCAAGAAGACAGTAGATAACGACTGACATTGCATTTAAATTTTTGAAGATCAAAGTTGTCTAGAAACCATGGAACCGGAAGAGATTTCCACAAGCGAAAAATTCGATAAAAGAAACTGTTAGGATAGAACTTACGGTTACCTTTAACCAATTTAACTGTAAACTGATAAGAACTTGCCTCCAATCGAGTACTGCGTTTAAATTCATAAACTCTAGGTACCACAGCGGAGACCTCATCCGAAGGTATATATTGAAAGTATTTATATAAAAAGGCATAGGGAAGCTACATTACGACGGTGGGAAAGTGACTGAAGACGAGACGCCAAATTAAGACCAATAATATTTTATCAAGAATCTCTAAATATACAACAGGAACACTGGACCATATGTTGCAGCAATATTCAATGTGCAAATGGTAGACTTATAAATATGCAAGGTAGATTGTAGGAAGAAAAATTGTCTTGCATGATACAATGGATCAACTTTCTTAGTAGCAGTGGATTCAATTTAATCTTTCTACTGCGTGTCAACCGAGAATGTAAGCATGAGAAAGAACGATGAGTTACTCTCATGGCGACTGGTATCAGCAGGAGCACCGAACCAATATTCAAAGCATGGAAGAATGGTAGACCTATAAATGTGTAAGATAGATTCTGAGCATGACACATTGAACCAACTTTCTTAGCAGCAGAGCTAGCAATGGATTCAATTTAATCTTTCCGCTTCATGCCATCCAAGAAGTTTACTTTACATTCACAAAGCCTCGATTATGAGATAAGCCATGAGTATGGATCAAGCGATAGTATTTTGCCTTTCGCCTTTCGTTATCCCAATGCACCTTCAGATGTCAGTGTCGCACTTTCTGTCCTTTGTTTAAAAAACTTCTCGGCTATTGCTGTGCTTGTTTGATTTTTGTATCAGCGATTTTTAATTTTTAATTTACATGTTGGGCTGTTCCTTTGCTGACAACCATGCATTCTGTCTTCTTTCAACTGATATTTAGTCCTCTCTTCTCGCTTTCAGTCACTTAGCAGCCGCAATGACTAAAATACAAGAACTCCTAGAGTTCTATACAGTTTCATTTCTGTCTCTGCTATTAACATTGTTTCATCTGTATATCTAATGTCGAAAAGATCGTGACCGCTAATAATAAATCCTGGTTGAACTTCTAATTCTATCAAAATCGCCTGACTGTAAAGGTTGAATAAGTCCGGTGATAAGACACATCCTTGTCTATCATCCAACCAAAATACAACATAAACATTTTGTGTTAGTTAACTGAATGAAAAAATCATTGACTATTTTTTTTCATTATTCCAAATATTTTCGGACTATTACCATTTTTTTTAATCAATTTCTGTTTATCCTTATCTACATTCGAATTAGTTTTCTCCCGGTTCAAAAGTAACGTACTTGCAGCATTCTATTTTGGTTGGGGGATATGTGACTTTATGGAGTCCTTATTGTAAAATGCCAATCAACTGTTTCCTTGACCGCTTATCTCCCAACATTCTCACAAAGTTATGATGACGTTTCGATGTACTGTAGCTGAAAAAAATCCTCACTTATCAATTGTAACACTTGTTTTTTTCGTCGCTTAAAAATATGTATCGAGACGATCAATTATTTTTTTAATTGATAATCAAAATTTTGATGATGAATCCACGTTCTAATATTTTCCTGGGATTTATTATTCATTTACGGTTAATTTAATTTTAAAAGGCATCGTATTTACAACGTTACAATTAAATGCTTGAGCCCGTTGCGGCAGTTGGGGAGGGGGGGGTTACAAAATAACGTTTAGCTACGTCCATGTAACGTTATATTAACGACGTAAATTTTAATGGCTTCGTATTTTATACAGTTACATGATGCAATCATAAGGGAGAAAGATATTCAAATAATAAATTATTCTGCAGTAGAACTGATATAATCGATTGGTTCATCATATTCATCAGTGTTTATGCAGCTAGAAAATTAAGACAGGATAAGACGAAAGGCTATCGACTTTTGCTTTGCTTTGCTCCGAAGAGAAAATGTCAGATTTTATTGCTTATTGACTTGTTAAAACTTAAAACTTCGAAATTATTTCTATAAAGTTTAAAATGGTGTAAGGAATGTCTTACATATACACTTTGCACATTATCTTTGTAAACAAGAGATTGACTGTAAACTAAAACAGGTAGTATCTTTAGTCTTACGCTAGCACACACACACACACACACACACACACACACACACACACATATATATATATATATATATATATATATATATATATATATATATATATATATATATATATATATATATATATATATACCGTCCTGGGTATGACGATAAACTAGATCCGCGTCCTGGGTAAAAGGATAAAACTACATCCAACCGCAAATTCTCCGATCAGGAAGTTTTGAGGAGCGTGGAACCACCTCTTAATTTTGCTGGTGTTCCCAGGTCCACTCTGACCCTGGGTAGTAGAACATGTTAGGGTCCCAGCTATAGGTAAATAGTTACCCACCAAACTGGGGTCAAGCACTATGAAAGTGTAAAATATGTCTTAATACCAGAAATACTTTGTAAAAAATTATTACCAGCAATACATTATTGCCAGCAAATCATTTTTTAGAAAACAAAATATTACAAGCAACAAAAATACCAGCAATACGTTTTTGAAAAAAATTTTACCAGCAATAAATAAATAATGTCGGCATTAAATAAGACATTGAGCTTGATATGCCGTAAAACAAACCAAACTATATATATATATATATATATATATATATATATATATATATATATATATATATGTATATATATATATATATGGGGAGAGACATAAAGTGAAAGAGCGAATATTATGAGTATGGATTTCAAGTCTCCAGCGTCTGAATATCGCTTGAAGTGTGAGACTGACAGTCACCGTGAACAGTTCATTTCTATGTCCATGCTATGTCTACAAACGTTCTATTTCTCATACTGAGCGTTCACCAAGCATAGAGTTATTTAATTAGACATAGGTCAACTCCAAGCGGCAATTATATTTGAGAAATATTATTTATCTGCATATGCTCTATCACTGTTATTGAGCATTTTAAATATAAATATACCAAATCTTAAAACAATATTTTTATCATATATATTTTTGTTTGGGGTAGGCTTGAATGAAATTAATATCTACCAGTTTCGGGTTCAAAAGTGTTACTAAAGAAAATGTTATTCACTATATGCATTTATTACATAGAGTAATCGGAACTTGCTTGCTCTGACTTCTTGTAACTTAATTGTATATATATATATATATATATATATATATATATATATATATATATATATATATATATCAAGGGGGGTTGCAATCTGGGGAGTTACGTGGCTAGATGTACGGAGTGATGTGGTGTCAGAAATTGTTTGACAGCCATGGGTTCTCCTTCTTGTGTGGCATGGTGCAGTGTCCTGTTGCCAGACTATGGGAAGATGAATGGAGGCATATCGTCGCCATCGCTAGTGGTCTCTCCAGACACCATGATGTTCGCTGGATATATCATCCAACTCTTTCTGAATTCTCTGCACTGTCCTCAGTTTGACTCTCAAACACTCTGAAAGGTCTGTACAGCGTACCGTTTCCTAATTTCTAGATGTAGTTATCAGTTATTTCCTGATAATTTCCCCCTGAAAGTTTTCCACTGCCTTAACCGGGTATCGACATCCATCAAACATGGCACGTGGAACTAGAACAGTCTACCCCAGTGAGCGAAATAAAGGGTAGAGTTCGACATTCCAACAACCTGAAGAAGGCCGGAGCGTACAACGGCTGAAACGTTGTGATAAATATGTCGACAAAGATGAATACAATAGTCCGAATAATGTAAATAATGTACATAATACCTCATCTCAGAAATATAGACATACTACAAGCTTTCGTCTGTTCCTACAGACATCTTCAGGTATAGAATAGATGTTGTTCTTGTTTTTTCTCTTAGTAATAAGAGGACAACGAAAATATATGTTTTGTTGTATCCGAAAATGCTATTGAAAATGAGTTATTGTTTTTGGAGCGCGCAAAAGCAACGCTGAGTTTGATTACTCTTATTACTAAGAGAAAAAACAAGAACAACATCTATTCTATACCTGAAGATGTCTGTAGGAACAGACGAAAGCTTGTAGTAAAATAAGAACTAATACGGCAGAAATTTATATAAACAAGGATCATTTCATTCATAACGGATACGGAGGTTTTTGTATATTATTTGAATTGTTTGCGATGATGGATGTCTCGCCATTTAAATCATTAACCTTTGCATTAGTTTTTGTGTGAATAATTCATATATATATATATATATATATATATTTCTGAGATGAGGTATTATGTACATTATTTACATTATATTTATTATTTATTTTATTATTATATATATATATATATATATATATATATATATAATATATATATATATTAATAATGCCATACGTGATAAACGTTTAGATGATCATGTATCTTTTGACACATGACTGACGTGGCAGATTTTTTCCCGCATTAGGTTGCCATTTCTTTCTGCGGTAAACCAGTTGCCATCCAAAGCTACAGAAACCGGGGAAGAGGGTTCATACTATTCCCAAGGCTATTAGCACGTAAGTGAATATAATGGATTCGACTGGAATTCGAACTCGGTTCTCCAATTTCTCAGTCCGAGCCGCTATCCATTACTACACCGTGCCTAAACTAAATATCCCTGAATTATTATACGCGTAGAATGAAAAGAAGTATCAGTGGGAAAGAGGCCTGAAGAAGATCAAAGAGTAGAACGTCTGAAACGTCATGAGTGGAATAACCAAGACTAGTCCAGAATAGATCAATG